TATTACACACTGTAGCTTTAATCTCAGAATTCCAACTTTTTTCTCAGAATTCTGACTTTAATCTCAGAATTCTGACCTTTTTTTATTGTCAGAATTCCGAGAAAAAAGTCAGAATTCTGAGATTAAAGTCAGAATTCTGAGATTACTAAATCTGAAATAAAATTTAAAAATCAGTTAACTTTATTTTTTTTTCCAGTGGCCCTAATCCTCTTCCGTAGACTGATGATCAGAACAAATATGTTAATATAAAATACTGTAAATAATAAAAAAAAACATATCTGTACAGCTGGCTGGTACCACAATGGCACTTGTAAAATAGAATTTGCAAACTGCATTCTATTATCAACTGCACACCTTTACAGACAATAAAGCAACAGAAATAGCTTGGCATATTTATTTGAAGATAATATTTGACATTAGATTGAGAGACATAACATTGAGGAGCAAAGTGCCTTGAGATGACATGTTAGGTGAATTGGCACTATATAAATAAACTGAATTGAATTAAATATAGATAATTTTCAACTTTTGTTAGAAGTTATGTTAAATCTAACATAGAATGATAAAAAATAAAGAGCAACGGATCCCTGGATAATAGATTACTAAAGGTTTATTCCAACCATCCAGTAGCTTCAGTGGATTTATCAATCCACTTAACATTTTCTTTTTTATATAAATGTATACTTAACCAGGAGAGAAATCCTGTGAGATTTTGTGAGCCCTTGTAGCAGAGAAAAAGAAGAGCGACAACAACGGAGTACTTGTGTTTAGGACTCACCGTCAGCCTCTTGCCCCCAGTTTTAGGGGTTAAATCAGAATCCTGTCGGGTCTCTGCTTCTGTAGCCACAGCCAAAGTCTCATACCTTCAAGTCAGAAAAAAAGGAAAAAAAGGCAACTGAAACAGCTACTGCATAAGAACAATCTCTGAAATACTGTTAGTGTGCCATCAAGGTGCTTATCTTATTTCCTAGGTGTTCATTTGTTCACATATAGACATATTTTATCCGTGAAAGGGTCAAATAAACATATATTATTCAGCACTCAATATGTTTGGATGATAATAAGATGTAAATCAAATAAAATTTATTTCACAAGTCGGAGCTCGGTATGATGCGGTATCATCTGCCCATCTAACATAATTTTAAACTCACAAAAACATTTATTCTAAAAATTTATAAAAAAAGATAACAGTTACCTAATCACTATAGTGTCATGTCTTGTCAATTATCATCATAAAAGAGGAGAATTAGGATCAAAGTTTTCATTTTTCATCGATCTTGATGCATTGATGGATCAATGTTTTGTAAAACTCCATAATGAGAGAAAAAAATAAATTTTCTTTTGTTTTGTCTTTGTAGCCATGTTTATTTTGTTTTAAATTCAGGTTTGCCAACATGTCTGCCACAAACTTCCCAAAATAACTCCTGTTATTTCTCCCCAAAGAATGTTATATTAAATGTCAGTACTAAATTAAGACCTTTAATTGATTTTGATTTTAATACTCAAATGTTCCAGTCAAATGTTGTTACACATGGTTAAAAATATTTAAGAAAACCTGGAAGCATCTCGTTTTTCCCCTTTATAGCTGCTTCTGTCATATCAGTCAACACTGTAATGACCCGCCTTCCTCATGGAACGGCAGTCTATCAGTTTTAGACAGAGAACAGTATCCACCTCGCAAAAAATAAAGTGGTCAAGCTGATCTGTGGTCAGTTGACTTTGGCATCTGTAGCGTTAGCCGCTTTCCAGTAAGAGTCTGGCAGACGAAGCCTTTTGGCAGAAATCTATCTGTCTTCACAGACACCTGAATGAACAGAGCTTTTTAGACGTAACCCAGTATGACTCCCAAACACAGACTAAACACTAAATAACTGCTGACCTGTCCACACTGTGCTCCTGCACTCAAAGATATCTTTGGACCATAAAACCGGTATTAATCGAGACAGACGGGCTTGAAACCCCGTGTTAAATCACAGCAGCCTTAATCAATAAAGACAGCCAATTCATCACTTTATTGGCTCTGTGAGTTTCAGTTTTTCTGCTTTTTCAAAATAGGGGATATACACTGATTTTTACTCTTAATTTATGGTCAATATTTATGGTCTGATTTGAAATAAGGAAGCTGTAAAAACCAGAAGCATGTTTCAGATTTATGTATTGAACTGTAGCTCAATTAAATCAAAGTCTTAACTATCTATACATTCTTATGAAACTACATTTTATATTTAAAATTTAAATTTGGAAAAATATCTTAAGCAATTTAAACAAAACCTTCCTTCTATTTTGCAAATGTAAAAAAACAGAGTAATCCCAAATGTACATTTTTACAGGATTGAAAGATTAAGCTCGTCCCAAGTTTTCCACCTCTTGTTATTGAGCCACCAGAACTTCAGATTTATGTTGTTTTTTTTTTTTTCCCAAGTTTCATATATGTTTTAAACAGCCTAATATTTGGTCATTTTTCCATAAAGTCTAATTTCTCTTTTATTTTCCCCAAATATAATTTTGAGTGTGTGTTCTTTGTGAATAAATAACCACCCTTAAGGCTGCTCTCTGACTGAACTACCACATATGTAGCATTAGCTTTGGGGATTCGCCGATGAAAATTTTATTTGATACCAAAGCTCTGTTGGCTGTAATGGTATCATTAGGCAAGGCAGGGCAAATTTATTTGTATAGCACAATTCAGTGCAAAGAAAATGCAAAGTGCTTTACATGATTAAAATACAGGAAGATAAAACATAATCAAAGCAAGTAGTAAAAAATAAAAAAAATAAATAAAATAAAATAAAAAATGCAGAAACAGAAAATGATATTAAAAACAGTTGTACTAAAGAATATGTTTTAGTTGAACTGTTTAACTAGAACAGTCGAAGACAATCCTAAACAAATGTGTTTTTAGTCTTGATTTAAAGGAACTCAGGCTTTCCGCACTTTTACAGTTTTCTGGAAGTTTGTTCCAGATAAGTGGAGCATAGGAACTAAATGCTGCTTCTCCATGTTTAGTTCTGGTTCTAGGTATGCAGAGCAGGCTGGAGTCAGAAGACCTGAGTGGTCTGGAGGGTTGATACACTGATAGCAAGTCTGTGATGTATTTAGGTGCTAAGCCATTCAGAGATTTATAGACTAACAGAAGTATTTTAAAGTCTATTCTCTGAGATACAGGGAGCCACTGGAAGGACTTTAGAACTGGGGTGATGTGCTCTATTTTCTTAGTCTTAGTGAGGACACGGGCAGCAGCGTTCTGAATCAGCTGCAGCTGTCTGATCCACTTTTTAGGCAGACCTGTGAAAACACTGTTGCAGTAATCAATTTGACTAAAAATAAAGGCATGGATTAGTTTTTCCAGTTTCCATTACTGTTGATTTTGTAAGAGACTGTAATAAATGCCTCTCTACAAACAAGAACTTGCTTGAATGGATACATGTTTATCCCAAAAGGCAATTTGAGACAAGTACAAAGTCATAAAACATTAAATTGTGTCAACAGGATAAGTTCCATCCTGAAACAAAAATAGAAGGGTTTAAATTGAGTGTAATTATTAAATTAAAGACAAATGCTAAAAAGGGGTAAACTTTTTTGTCACACATTATTAATCTAATTGAAATTAATTATAGAAATAGGATGAACAGATCTGCCCCATGGAGCCAATTTTCAGTATCGGGGGCCCACACACTGGAAAAAACTATCTAGAAATAAGTAAAAATGTCTTAAATTAAATGTATTTACCCTTATTTTGACTAGAAAAATTAGATATTTTGCCAATGTAATGAGTATTTTTAGTATTAAAATAAGATAATTAGATAATATGCACTTGAAATAAGATATTGCAATTCTTATTTTAAATGTAAATTTTCTTGTTCCAATTGGCAAGATGTCTCTTTTACATCCTCAATCCAAAAACAAATAATTTCTTTTAAGGAAAAATGATCTATCTTATCTAGATTTCGATTTTTTTGTAGTGTACAGATATTAATGTCATAGAACAAGCAGTCCTGTCCTCCCTCCGCTTACTGGATAAATGGCCACATAAATCTTCAAAAAATGTGCTTAAAGAAATTGAGATCACTACTTCTGTCTTTAGTGGAACTTAGCTTATTTAGTGCCTTTAATTTCCAACAACTTCCAGTTGTTTTCATTGCTGTCTTTGTCTTATTTTATACCCACTTTTTTACATTATATTTCAGAGCCTCATCCATTGAAATAAAATGTTGTCAAAAACAAACCTTAGAAGGACTGAAAAGATTCCAATCAGGTATCCAGTGATACAGCTCTTTTCATTACTATTAAGATAACAAACCGCTGTTAGTCAAAGCCAAAAATGCTAAATGCACAACCTGCAAAACTTCTGGAAGATTTGTTTAAGCCCAAAGGAAATGGACAGCATCCACCAGAGATTACATCAGAGACAAGTAAAGCTCTGTGTATGTTTCTGTTTTGATCCGCTCAGTGAAGCTTTGCGGTAAATTATAAATATCTTCAAGGAAGGCATTATTTGGTCTGCAGTTTATCAAGTACAAGCCATGAATTTCAGTATCACAGGAATATCTGAATTGTATGTTAACCGTTTAAACCTAATGTGTACAATGAGAATTAAATGTGAATTAAGAGCCACTCTGTAAATAAGGAGTTCCATGTGTACAGAAAAAAGTAGCATTGCTTACAGCAATGCAGATGTAATAACTTTTTTTTTTAACAAAACAACCAGGCTGATTATGTTCTTTGGCTTTTATTTTTTATTGTATAAAACCTACTTGTAGCTCTCCAGCTGGCGTGCTGAGGACACTGTGAGGAAGCTGTCGGTTCTGGAATTGTAGGCCAGCGGACCAGGCAGGAGAAAGCCAGGAAGGAACCTGCCGAACGAGTAGCTGTCCTGCTCAAAGAACATCAGCATCCCATCCATAGACTGGATGCACAAGGAATGGTGACCTAAGGGGGGGTGGACAGCACAGGAAATGGATTAAACTCCTGCTACAGTACCTATAAGCTCAAGTCATGTTCTCAAATCACATTTACAGGTGGCTCCTCAAGCCTCTCTCTCGATAGGTTGGCTTGTGATGTTAATGTGGTGTTAAATGATACATTTTAACTTAGTCTGACTTCCAGAGAAAACTACTGCCATTTTGTTGAATAATCTCTTCATATAAGATATATTCTGCTATATTCCTGTTCTCTGCAGGTGGTCTACTCTTCAAAAAAATTTGACTAGATGGTCATTTTTGCCACAAAGGCCTGATTGGTTCTGCTTAATTGATCATCAGATTCTTAGCTACGTCTCTAACCAGGAAACCTTTTTCTACCAATTACTCAGTTCGTTAAAGAGGTAAAATCTATAAAGGGGGCAGGTGGTGTGGCCTGTGGCTAAAAACTGTTTGATTGATTGAATGACTTCATTGATCTCACAGCGGAGAAATTAACACTGCAAAAACGATCTAGAAATAAGTAAAAATTTCCTAAATTAAGTGTATTCACTCTTAATTTGAGTAGGTAAATGAGATGTTTGCTAATGGAATGAGTAATTTTACTCCTTAAATAAGATAATTAGATAATATGAACTCGAAATAAGAGAATGCAGTTGTGTTTTCTTATTTTAAGTGTAAATTGTCTTGTTCCATTGGCAGAATGTCTCTTTTACCTCCTCAATTCAAGAATAAATGCACTTATTTTAAGAAAAAAATGACTTATCTAGATTTAGATTTTTTGTAGTGAGCTTTTTACTGTGTATAAAATATAAAAAACAGGCTATTGCACAGGGTATTAAAATAGTTATTGCACATTAATTATTGCACAAGTTACTACAGTTAGAGTCCGGTATTGTAAAGTCTGATGGCGGCAGGGATGAATAACCTGCGGTAGCGCTGCTATTTTGCAAACAGGGTATAAAAGTCTGTCACTAAAGGAGCTGCAACAAGTCTAGTGAACTCTGTTCCGAAACTCTGATCAGTTGAATTCACCACAGGATGAGAAATCAGGGAAAGCTGTCACTGCAAAATGTGTCCTTCAAACCAAGTCTTGCAATCTTAGATTTAGCCAAAATGTAGTTTTAATCTTTTCAGATTGAAATACTAAAGCAAGAGCAGAATCTGTTAAATTATTAATCTTGTTTTAAGAAGCTTCTATTCAAAATAAGTGAAACAGTTGACTAGTTGAAATCATGATATATCATCTTGAAACAAGAAGTCTTACTAGTTGCATTTGACTTAGTGCACTGGCAGATTATTGCACTTATTTTGAGTAGAATCTTCTTAAACTGAGATTAATGATCTAACAGAATCTGCTGTCGCTTTAGTTGATCAATCTCAGAATAAGAACAAAACACTAGATGGACACTTTTTGGAGTCAATATCAGTGGAAATCAGATGGATTTGGGCTCAATATTTAGTTTTAAAAAGTATCAACACATCGCAGTGTTAAAAATAATAAAGGTTTATGTTTTGAATGCATTTAGAACACTGAAAAGATGCTTTCAAGCAATCAGTGAGGATTTTTTATTGTGTATTTGTTTTAAACCATACTTACACTAAAAAAATATGAATACTTTCTGTATAGCAGGTGCAAAATACCAAAACTGAGGCGAGACACAATAAAGTTAAGATTTATATTCAGCATTAGAGCAGCTCTCATTGCGTTTAAACAATTCATGATGTGACACAGGCCCCGACAATCCCAGATGACTCATTGTTCTGTTTTATTTCAGCCATGTTCTCATGCACCCCCCCAGTCTGAATCTGATATCTCCATTAACACCTCCACACTGACATGCCAACACACAAACACACCTGAGTGTGAACCTGCATATGTGTCTGCTCAATAGGAATAGCAGGATGTGTCTTTACTGAGCCAAATACTCCGACACGTGCACGGCCATAAAGCGGTGGAGCTACATGAGCCAGAGGACTATAATTAGGCCTCAATGCGCTATTAAAAGTCACAGTGGTCAGGAAGACAACCACCTGCAGCGCAACATACACCCTGACAAGCACACACTTAAGATCCATCACCAAGGATTTAGACAGAGAAGGATACACACGCTTAAACGCCGATTCTATTTAAGAAAGTGAGAGTGCGCTGGTGATGAGTAGTCCTTCAGGGTGGCCGCTAACTCACAAGGACATGGTCTCACAACCACACCGCATCAACCCAACAGGGTTAAATATGATGCTTGGTAATGAGCCACCAGCAGATGTAGAAGGAAGGCGTTCTAGCCTGCAGTTTGGGGTATTAATACGCGTTAGCGCATTTATATCTGAAATATTTAAACATATAACAGAAAAGGTGAAATAGCAGCCTTAAATAGCTGCTGTGTTAGAACTCCTAATGCGGAAAATTTGTGGAAACATAAAGGCCTAAGCCAACCGTAGCGCTGACAGTGCCTGTCAGCACGCTGGTTGGGTGTTATTTCTAATCACATCCCGGCTGTAATTCTACACATTTACATTAAATCCAGTTTATTTGAATAAAGATAAAAGCCACCCAATCTTTCTATCCATAAAACCATTTTTAATGTCAGCATTGTACTTTTTATTCGCTCTTTTCTTAGAAATAAAAGCAGTTCTTTTTTCTGAAAATACACTGAACACCAGAAATAGCATGAATTAAAACCTCAAAAATTACTCTATAGACTAAAATACATCATAGCTGTTACACAATTTAAAGTATGCTTTTTATTTAGTGTCTGGTAACATTTTGAACAGTATAATCATTCAAGTTTGGATTTGCTAAAAAAAACTAAATGGGTTTCTTGAGGAAAGTTTAATTTTTGTTACATAAATAAAATCTTACTAGGTATAAAATGTTTTAAATTTAAACAATAGCAGAAAAACTAAATACATAAAAAGTACAAAACACATATCAATATCCATATTTTATACTGTATAAAGAATTATTGTCTCAATTTCTTCATCAGATATTAAACTTAGTTACCTCCACCAAGGAGCTCATGTTTTTAGGAGAGTTTGTCTGTTTGTCTTTGTACAGGATAAATTAAAAAGTTAAGGGATTTTAATTACATTTTTTTAATCAAACGTGCTCCAAAGTCCAAGGAACAATCTATATATTTTGGTGATGATCCGGATCACCGGTCTGAATCCAGGAATTTTCTGAACAATTCTTTGAATACAGGTATTAACTTAAGGAAGACGTCACATTATGTCGGGGGAAATGATCTACTTGCCGCAGATCTGCGCTCTCCGAGTGCTTTTGTTGTGTATTTTAAACTTAGAGTGCAAAGGATTAAAAATATCTCTTATAATCAACCAGTGGGGTCAAAAGTACACACATTTGTTTCCTAAGTACGTAGAAGTATAGTTACTGCAGTTTAAAAACACTCTGGTAAAAGCTGAAGTATCAACTTGACCTCTTTACTCAAGTTAAAGTGAAAAAGTATGTGCTCCAAAAACTACTTAAAGTATAAAAGTAACCTTTAAAAAAACAGCCGGATGCCACTATATGAATTAAAAGCTCAATTTTACGACTATTTCAAAAATTTCTCTGAGATAGGGCCAAGGATGAGGGAGGTCTTGTTGGTCTCCGTCTCCTGATACGCTCTTGCCTGTGTCCGACCTTTCGGACGTTTCAACATCTTTTTCTGAATCCAACAATGTAGCATGGAATAGACAATTCACGTTTGCAGTTTAAAGAACACCTGCTTGCTTCTGATGATTTCCTTTAGCTAACCAATCAGTGTTTGCATTATATGACTCGTCCAACTATACTAGTTTTCACTAGATGTGGATGGAGCCGATGATCTGCATTGGATGGAGCACATGACGTGAAATAAATATTTATAAACATTAAACTGAAGCCAAGAGTAACGAGTAAATGTTTGTTTTAAAAATGTAAGCAATAGAAAGTACAGATACTTGTGTGAAAATGTAATGACTAATGAGTAGAAGTCAGAAGTAGGAAGAAAAATAAGTAATGGAGTAAAGTATAGATACCTAAAAATTCTACTTAAGTACAGTAACAAAGTATTTGTACTTCGATACTTGACACCTCTGTAATCAACCCCCATTTTTAATATGCTTATCTTAATTTTGCAAAAGCACAAAGATCCCATTATTCCCCTTCAGCTCCAGTATCGTCTTTACCAACATCTATGGTTATAAAAGAGGAATAAACTGATGTACAGAATACAATAAAGGCTGATAAAATGGTGCCTGAAATTTATTACACAGCCAAATATTGGATCTAAAACTTTTGATTTACATAATTTTTGCATTAAAATCTAAAGTATATATATTAGGGGATGAGTATTGGCAAGTGTGTTGCAATAAAATGCGTGTCCCGATACTCAGGTGACGATACAATATCACGATATTACAATATCACTATGTATTGCAATATTTTACCCAACTATCAAAATTAAATGTATAGATAAAAAAGCAAGAGCTGTATATGTTCAACAGAATCCATGTTGTTTTGGGGTTTCAGTCCCAGTCTTCTACTGTGACGGCCTCAACCACAGAAATGGTGCTGCAGCACACAGCAAAAGGGCTCCACTGCGTTATCAGAGTGGCAGTGCAGAGGTAGCCCATTTTCACTCATTGTTTTAGGAAAATAAAGTTTTTTAAATCGATATTAGGAAATGAAAGATCGTTATTATATTGGGCAGCCAAAAATCATGATATATCGCCAAATAAATTTTTCCCCAGATCGCTAATATATAGTATATATAGAACTAGTTTCAAAGTTGATATATTGAGAACATAACAATATAATATCAGAAAGAGGGAAACCCCAAAGCATAAAAACAAATGTTAATTGGTTCTGAAACACCAGATGTGAGCAGCAAAGCAGAATAGGTGATCCAGAAGCTGAGCTGCAGAGTTAGATCTTCCTTCCAGACGAGAAACAGGCGTCTGCTGATTTAAAAAAAAAGCCAAAGAGCAACATGCACTCAACCTGACACTGTCCTGTTTGATAAATCTGAGAAATGGAAGAAGTCTGTGTCGTTATGCGTCCAGGATGAGGACACCTCAGCTCAGACACAGCAGAGGAAACAGGCCTCTATGGGAATGATTGAGAAACTGAGCAGCCAACAAAGAACAGAGGCAGGCTGCAGCGCCTCACCTCCGTGCATGAAAACATGAGAGCGTGTGAGAAACACACCATCTGTAAATGCCAATGCATATCCCCAAGCTTTTCATTTCTGTCCGTGGATGTTTGTGCACGTGTCTCTGCATCCATGTGTGTGTGTGAGTGATCGCCTCAGCTAGTAAAGACCATACTTTCGGTTGGTACTTTGGGTTTGAGTGTGTGTGGCCTTAATGTGACCCAAACCCAGAGGCAGCTCAGTCATTAGAGCTGTATTAGGGCAGAGCTGCTATTACAGCGCCTACAGCACTGCTAAATGGCTGCTACTATAGACCACCGCACACACCCGCTCACGTGTAGGAGCAGACATGTCTTGTAAAAACATTCCCACGCACGCCAATTTGAACGCACTGTCAGAAAAATTACATTCATAGACGCTCGGTTGCTCGTGCACCTTTTCTCTGTTCAGTAACGTATCAAAGGAACCACCTCAGTGTCTGTTTATCACTAAATGTCTCTTTATTTCATACCAGCCTTCTGTGTTTGCAGCTTATCTAAATGTATGCATCTATAAAGAAATATGAGGTGTCAAAACAAAAAACTAAAGATGACATGTAAAGTACTGTTTGCTGAAAGTTGAGCACCAATTTAATTTATACTAATGTTACATTACTCATCAGCTGAACTATGAGCTATTGGCAAGGAAAAGGGAATCCCCCTTTAAGAAGCAATACAACATCCCATTCATTCAGGACATACAGCGTGCATCTGCAACCAGGCTTCTGAGGCTTCACCGCCATCTAGTGGAGAAAAAACTCACAGCATGAAAGAAGAGGAAGATTTTCGTTACGAAAAGGGATGCTGTAGTTTTACTGCTGTGGAATCACATTAGCTTAATTGGATTATCAGGTCGGTTGGATGTTGTTTGAGCAACACTTTATGCTATGATACAGATTAGATTCATTTACTTAAGCTAAAGTGTTAGCTCACACATATACCTTTATTCTATGTGACACCACAGATGGCATCTCTTAAGACCTGTTCCACAGTATGGCAATGCCAGAAAATCTGTGCAGACAGTGTCACATTCATTGGTTTGTGGCATGCACTTTGCACGTGATTTAAGCCAATGCTGAGGTATTGCTTATGATGAACCCAGGCTGCTCTTTCTATCAGACACACACTTACACACGTGCACAAGCACACACCCAGACTCTAAACATGAAGTGAATGACTAGCTCATCTTGCCAGGCCACAGTGTCTGGCTCCCGCTCTCTTCAAACACACACACCTCGACAATACAGCCTTTCTTTCAAAAGGTCATTTTCTCTACTTTAAAGGGGGTTCCCTGTGTGTCTGTGTGCACGTGTAGGTCTGTGTGTGTGTTTTCCTTGGACACTGACTAACAGAGGGCTTTCCCCTACTTGGTTTTTCCAAGAGCCCGAGGACCTAAAGAAGGAGCAGATGCATGTGCCCTCTCTCTCGCTCTAATTCCCTCCTCTAACAGCTTTTAGTTTTCATGCTTTTTGTCAGGTGCTGCCAGCACAGAGGCTCCCTCATGCACACTTGTTCCAACAGCACAGAGTGCCTTAAAAGCATCGAAGCCCGTCAACATTATCACATGTAACACCTATAACAAAAAATGATCCATCTCTGCATTTTTCCTAGAAAAAGGATATAAAGCTGCAATTGTTATGGTTTTTGCACACTTGGAGGCTAAATAAATGCACATTTCTCATCATAAAGTTCATGGATTGAGAGCTTCTGTCTATGGACAACAAATCTTTCCACAGAGTTTATTATGCTTTAACATCTGACGTTTGACTGGGCCGCTGGTTTTCCATGCCTCTGCCTCAACTTTTTGGCAGCTTTATTCATCCTTTTTTCCCAGTATCACAGCAGAGAGCTCCAGTATCACAGCCCCTCTGTTTCTGCATTCCCACAGCTAAATACTGCAAATGGTTCATTCTATAAAACATAGCAAGCAACATTAAGGTTAAATTTTCATATCGCCTAAGAAAAAGAGCATCTTCTAAAAGTCTGATCCCCAAATAGCTTTTATTAAACAGGGAAATTCTTATATCTCTCTTTAAAAACTAATTTTTTTCCTACTAATCTTTCATTAAGATGCGATTTATGGAGGAAGTGACTTATAGTTGTTTAAGATTTTGTTGTAGCTCCTCCAGAGTTGTCCATTTCTATAACCAATGCATTACTTTCTCAGCCTTTAATTTGGGTGTAAGACCATTTCTCTATAAATTCATAGACTTAGACTCAACTGTATTTATCCCTTGGGATTCCTCCTTCAGGGTTATTCTAAATTCTGGTTCCAGTAGCTTATATAGAGTACAAAGGGCAGAGTTAAAGCAAGATGCATTTAAAGATAAAAAAAAAAAAGTACGACAGACAATATAAAAAAAAAGTGTATATAGTACCAAATAAGCATAAAAAAAATAATTTAAAAAAGTCTATGTTTGGGCAACATGTCTACATTTTAAAAATGCTGAGATTTTGTTCAAAGGAGATAGAAGATGAGTTTATATCGTTTATATCAAGATTATCTGCTTTGCAATATTTTTATATACGCCAGTAGATTATTTTTCAGCCATTTCAGACATGTTCCGATGTTTAGCAAACACTCTTTGTTAGTAATTTTAAGATATCCAGATATTATTTTGGTCCATATCATCCAGCCCTAACCTATGGTGTCATACCTTCTTTTTTTTTTAACAGTGCTTCTTTAAAACCTCAAAGCTTGGGAACACTGACTTAAGAAAATATATTTTTATCCCTGACCTGAATTGGGTTGATACAATTTTAACAAAATGCAATTTTCAAATCACAGAGGCACTCAGTTTTATACTACAAATAGAAAGTTCTAGCAACTGTAGCACCAAAATCTATAAATGCAAATAAAAGTAAACACCTTTCAGAACAAAGGCTACATTAAGTCCTGCAACAATTAACTCTATCAAGGTAAAGAAAAAAAACAGAAACCCTGGAGTGAAACGTCTACATGCTTTTGCTTGGAATGGAATGGAATCACAATCGAAATATTGGTTGAAATTTATCCCAATTTCGATTTTTTTTTTTGGTAAAATCGCTCAGCCTTATTCATTAGTTTTCATGTTGTTAGTTTTACACAGACAGGCTTTATTTACTAATTAGCTAACCTCTGAGCATATCTCATTTTTTTATGGGTATCAGAAAAAAAAGACTTAAAAAAGTTTCATGCAACAATTTGCCTTTTTTTTTAAAAGGTTTTGTAACAGACTTTAATGATTAGCCTCCAGCACTGAGGATATACATTATGCATTAACCCACTGCTAATTTATCCAAATGCTAAATATAAATCCAGATTTAAATTTAGTTTTAATTTTTATAAAAGCAGGTTTGAACATTTTAAGGGGAAAAAATAACCTCTTCTTGGTAAACTGTATGACTTTTGAATACCTTTTTATTTAGAGTATAAAATAATCCTGTGTATGATCGCAAATAGCCTAACTTTAAAAAAATAAAAGTCAGGGTTTAAATCTGGACGCACATACAGTAAAAGGCTGTAAACTTAAAAAGGGACATTTCTTTTAGACTGGAATGATGCAAACAGATCAACTCTCTACCTGTGGCTCCTCCGAAGGTGCCGTACGTCATGTTGCAGGCCGTTCTCTGCAGGTTATGCTCATATATTAACTTCAGCTGGTACTGATCTCCATGCTCCACATTCCCTGCAGTACCTGAGCAGCATTCACAAAAATAAACACAGAAATGCTCATTAAACAGAGATAGTGAAAAGATCATGAAGTTTTTGTCTTTGTGTTTAAGTTCGTGTACTCTATGTGCTTGTTACCTGTCACAGAGTAAACCGACAGCTTCCTTGGGTGAAGAACAGCCAGGTGAAGGAGCTCTGAACACCTGGGGAAAAAATTTAATAAACATTTACAGAGGATTCACTGCAGTCAGGAATAGGAAGAACATAACATTTGTTTGTTTTTTTACATTTAAACTGAAGTATGCAGTGATTGATCAATTTTTCTAACTTTAAAAGGCCTTTATTTTAGCAGCATATTTGTGCTAGTTTAGCTGCACAGATTTAAACCAACCATCCAGCTAGTATTGAACTGTAGAAGAGCTTCCTAACAATAGGCACAGGCATGCAGGCGCTGCAGTTCTGTCCTCAGATAATCCACAGAGGCAGATGCTTCCTGCCACTGCGGTAAAATTCATGTTCGGCCTCAGGGTGGAATCCAGACTTATTTTAACATTCACTTGTGAAATAATTACTTAAACAGCTGCTCCATTCTGTTTTAAACACTGCTTATAGCTGTGTGGTAGGTGATATTCCAGTGAAGTTAATCCTAGATTTTTATATAGTTCACCACAAAACCGCAGAGAAGTCCTCATTTTGAACTCGGAAAACTAAATGCACCCTTTCTTTCTTTCAAGAACTTTTTATTTCTCTTTATTTGTTTTGCATGTGGGGTAAAAAAAGGAAGTAAGAATTGGATCCCAAATCTTTATAAAGTGGAGTTTTTCAGTGCTGAAAAGAAAACATTTTACCATCTGTCCGCTTCAGCCTGACTTCTACAGCATTCCTCAAGGACAACCTCCAAAATGCCCAACAGTCTGAGGAGCGTTGTCCCAAAAAACCACATGTTGAGAAAACATTACATGTTCCAAACAGACTGATTTAGTTGGATTTTGCCCCCAATGTGATGATGTGGGAAGCCTTCGATACAAACCGCAGCTTTTCCAAGAAACCTTGGTTTCCAAAAGGTTCAGCCATGAAAAAAAAAGCCATGCAAGGTAATAGCATCAAATCTAATGCTAAAACAGGGAAACAAATTTGAATAAATTTACACAGATTTTTTATCGTAAAAACTATTTCTTGTAAAAATAGTAAACAAGTCAGAGACGTTACAAGCATTCGAAACAAGAATGTTTACTTTCAACTAAAATATATGTTTAGAAAGAGGATGCTTACATTCCAGATGCACCAGACTGTGACTTTTATAACAGTAAATGCGAAACAGAGGCCCATTTTTCTTAGTCACTCTCAAAATGGCAGACAGGACAACAAGATTTTAGGTATATGTCGGTTTTGTTTTTCAGATCTCAAGAGATACCTAAAGGAGGATTGCTTTTTACCTAAATCTGCAGACATCTACGTCAGAACAATGGCTAAGAAGTTAAAAAACCTCTGGGATTTTATTATATAAGGCTGGAGTGGAAGCATGAGGTTTAACTTGCCGCCACGCATGAGGAGCTGGATGTAAATATATATTTCCGAAGTTGCAGGAAAGAGCAAGAGGGATTAGGTGGTCAGATTAAAACGTCCGTAAACAAAGACCTGAGTAACCCAACCATACTAATTGGATGGAGATTGTGGAGGAAATATTCACTATGGAAAGAATGACCTTCATTTTAAGATGAAAAAAGCTCAATTTAAAGAAAAAAATTGAAAAAATGGATAACATATAAATTGGCCTCGGAAACTGTCGGACTTTTGTACCATAACTGGTTGCTGCCTTAGGTCTGAATGTTCATTTTGTTTTGCAGATGTTCAGAGGGCTGAGATCAGCATGTTGTTTATTCTTTTTTTCAAAAACAAATTAAAGATAAAAAAAAAGTCCACAATCGGGTCTTGCAGTAAAAAGAAAATAGGACAAATATCTGGAGAAGAACCTTTTTACGTCACAATCTGTGAATGAAATCGCTTTAGATACAGCCCAGTTTAAAAAGAAATGTCCTGACAGACTGGACCAAACAAAACAAAATCACACATGTAAATGATTGATCTATTAAGATTATGTGAGAAATTTAATTCAATTGAAAAATATTTAAGTGATTCCAAAGGGAAATAAAATGTTAATGTAACTTGAAGGGGTTTCTTCAACGACTTGTTTGTAGATTAATAACCGTAAGCAGGAAGGACATCCTGTAGAGGTTTGTCTACAGTCAGAAGCCTCTGATTCAAGACATCGTAGTTTGGAGGAGTTCCTAGAACAGCGCCGCCCTTCTTTCAGCTTGTTGAGTTTCTTAAAATCGTTCATTCTTATGCTGTTACCCTGCAGATAAAGGCAGGATCACTCTCTCGAACCACAAACATATTGAAAAAACTAAGCTTGAAATGAATGACACATGCAAACCGGTTTAGCTCGCCATGAGCTACTGGTTTAGGAGTGGCTGTAAAGGAAAGATGAAGTTCTAAGCTTTTCAGTTTAAAGTAATATTAGTGTTAGGTTCATTCAATGATGATTATAAAATTAATGTGTGCTCATGAAACATTTTTGCAAGGGGATGCTCCACTCCTGTCTCATGATTCAGTCAGGAGACCATCCTGCCTTGTCATTCTGATGGAGCATTCTGTCTTCATGAACTGATCAATTGTTCTGTCAGAACAATAATCTGTTTGTAACCATGTGTCATGTTCTGTTAATAAAATGCTCTGCGGAGGAGATCCAGTGGGAGACACTGCGTTTGAGTCTGGGGTTCAACTGTCTCTCCTTCCTGCAGGAATTGTATCCATAATTGTGTATTTCAGTTCTTCTTTTGCAAAAACCTACATTTTATGAACCCGACAATTAGTTTTTTTTTATATATAATAATAACGCAGGGATAGACTATGTTTTAATATCAGTATACATCACGGTATAATTTAATTCAAACTCATTTGGATATAAATTACAGTCTGTGATTTCAGTTTTGACTGAATGATGTTCTGGGTTTTTATGTGGCTTTATGTGTTTTTGTTTTATAAAGCAGGTATTTCTATTTGTTAGTTGTTAAAACGTTTTTGCAACCATCTCCTATGAGCATTCTCTGTGGCCTTTCTGAGGATTTTATTTTTTATATCGATATTGAAATTATATCACATCGACCTCATTTAAGAAATGTATCAAGATATAAGTTTTGGCCATATCGCCCACCCCTGTAACAACAATAATAATAATAGTGAATATTATTCATCCTGAACTCTCCTTGTAAGGATCTCATATTGCTACAAACAAAATAAAACAAAAATAAACAAACATTCAAGTCAAAAGGTTAAATATTAAATATAAAACCTAGAAGAGCTGACAATATCAGACCCCCTCCCTATCTCCATATCTCCGTACCAGGAAGGGACCCTAACCAAAGAGCAATATTAAAGGACTTCTCATCCCAAAATTAGCTTTTTTTGCTGATGAATTGTAGAAACACATCTTTTAGTGCCATAAATGTGACGTCCTTCCAACGTCTAAACAGGTGCTTTCTGTCGACTCACTGATGAAAATAATTAGAATGATATAAAATGTGGAATTAAAAGGATCTCTGACCTCTGAGCCCTTTAGGGTGCGGGGGAATATAAAGAACTAGATACCAGGAGAATTTTAATATAGGTTTATGGTAAATACTTACGAAACAAACTTGCCAACTTCGACCTGGATGATGGCATTTTGAAGCTGAACTTCAAGAAGCTGGGCATCAGCCGAGCCCCCCTCGCTCTGCTTATTGGCATTTGGGCAGAATATCCGCAGCATCCCCATGTAGCTGCCCACAACAATCTTGTCTGAAAAATATTTTATCACACAGAAATCAATCAGTATATTTACCCAGTCTTTCATGTTGTAGAAAGCACTGAAAACATCACTCCAACCATGAAACATGGCGGTGGGAGAATAATGCTGAGGAAAAAGCAGGTCAATTGTATTGGAAGATTGACGGAGTTAAATGCAAACTACTACTGTAAGAATAAAGTTAAGAAGCTGCTAAATAATTGAAAGAGGAAAACAACCTTAAACCTGAGGCCAGAGCTAGATTAGGATGATTCAGGTCAGAGCTTATTAATCTGTTAAAATGTCCCAGTCAAAGTCCAGGTGAAAATCCAGTGAAGAAACAACAGAGGTTATTCGCTTTCCATCAAATCTGACCAAGTCTAAAGCACAATAAATGAATAATCCAGTTAAAATGTACAAATATAACACATGTAAAAATTCTGCATAACATATGAATTATATAATTATCTTACATGTATAAATTTCAAGTTTATGTCTGAAAAAGGCAAAGAAGGATTGAGACTTATTTAATCATACTCCTTCACTTTCCTCTAGTCCTCATCATAAACAATCTTTCTAATTCCTGTTATTAATGAATACATGCTAATCGAAATTCCTTTAACTGAGCAAATTATTTAGTTTATGCATATATAAACATACATTATACACATTTAGAGGAAAACAAAGGAGTTTAGTTCTAGCCTTGTGTAGAGACAAACCTCCACAGCTTGCAGCAGTAACTGGAACAAAACCTGATTCTACAAAGTGGTGAATCAGTGTAGCTGAATATGAATGTACACTAAACTTTTTAGATTTTTTTTTTGTAAAGGATTTTGCAAACCTTCTATAAATGTTCTTACACTTTATCATCACTTTATCACTACTTCATGCTGTCCTATTACATAAAAAATAGGGATGCACGATATTGGGATTTTGGCCGATATCCGATATGCCGATATTTTAAAACTCATGTAGCCGATAACTGATATCGATACTGATGTTAAAGCTGGACAAAAATAAGTAGTCATTGAAAATAGCAGTTTTGTTATCCATTTCTGACACTTTGAAAAATAATATACTCAAATATATTTTCATATGATATCAAATTGATTTTTAAAAACGCGGTATCGATCTATTTTACTTTCAAAATCTCGTGAAATTTCATCGTTCTGTTACAAACTCTCTTGATATTTTGCAAATTCTTGTGAGATTTTGTTAGTAAAATAGATCGATACCGCGTCAATATATCAACATATAAAAATATGGCAAAATTTCCTGAATTTTCGGGGGATTTCGTAGCATAACGACGACATATAGCAATATTTCATTAGTAAAAGAGATTGATATGGTGTTTTTAAATGGCAATATATCGGCATATGAAGATATTGTGATATTTTAATGGATCAATATTTTTTCCCTCGTCTTTAGAAGTTTTTAAGTCTGTAAAAAAGAAGTGTTTGAGGAAGAAGAAGTAGTATTTTTTTTTTTCTTTTAGACTTTAGAAACTTAGAAGCTGATCAAATATCGCGTTAAATATCGGTGGGGTGGCCGATGTCTGATATTCAGTTTTAAGGCCGATACAGGCCGATACCGATAGGGGGCCGATTATATCGTGCATCCCTAATAAAAAACATTAAATTCAAAGAAGCAACAAACTGTTGAAACGTTAAGAGGACGTGAATACTTTATTAGATTTTGAAACATAAACGAATGTGAACTTGAGGGGAATGCTTGTGTTTATTTATTAATATCTTTCTTTCATCTTTTCTTTTTCTTCTTCTGTTATATTTACATTGCAGTGTCCATTTAAACTGTAAAACTCCCTGTATAATTATAATAAAGCTATTTATATGCATTAATAAAGTGGAGCAATATGGCAATTGCCATACTGCTACACTTGTAAAAGTAAAATCTGTTGGGCTCTTTTTGGCATCAAGACAATTATTCTTATTGCCACATTGCCAGACAGGACACCGTTAAAAACAAATAATAATAATAATAATAAGAGAAGGCGATCCAGACATTTTTACTGATTATCCCTACAATAAGTGTCTGTTTTGGGTGTTTTTTTGTCAACATGCTGTAAAGATGCTGCAGTGAAGAAGAGATCCTCATGACAAACTGACCATGTCCTGTTCCACTGTTGTCCACATCTCCCACACACAGGCATCCCTGGTCAAATTCCTCCCCCTCACCAAGAGCTCCTGACCACCAGTCACGGGCCTTAAAAAGAGACATGGCGCCTCCAACTGGACAGAGAGTGAAAAAAGGCAGGGGCTTTTACTGATGCAGGAGAATCATGTCTTTACACTGCAGGGCAACTTACAAAAAAAAAAGCATTTAAACAAGAGATAATGTACAAAATGACATTAAGGATAATAATTAAGAGAATAATGAAAAAATAAATAAATAACTCAGCCATTCTGACTGAGCTGGTTGGGTTTTCAGACAAGCAAAGTTGGGCAGTTTTCTGCCCCTAAAGAGCCCCTAGATTTGGAGCTCTGTCCACCAAAGGAACAAATGCAGCCGGTCACATGATCAACTGCATGGAGCATTGACTGAAGCAGGATGAAGAGGCAACTACAGTAGGTGGGGGCAAGCAGCTTTTCTACTTGATGTGCTGAGCAGGTGGAACAAGCAGTTAATCCGGAGAGAGAATCCCTCCTATCTTCAGCACACTGACCTTAAAGCCTGAGTGTTATAAAGCAAGACAGCTGCAAAAACCTTCAGATTTTTTTTTTCTTTTAATTACAAAACCTACATCTCATTTTGTTTTCAAAATCAAACTACATACATGATGTTTAACATAATCTGTAAATGAGTAAACACACTTTTCAGAAGCTGAAATCACTTAAATGTAAATAAATTTTTTTATCTAATCTGTAAAAACCAAAAAAATAAAATAAAATAATAATTCAGCTGTTTTTTTCAGTAGTTGAAATAGAAATAAATGATTATGTTACAATGCATGTGAAACAAAACAAAATCCTATTGAGGAAATTGGATCAGATCACAGTAAACTTGTTTTGTTGTCTGCAGGGGAGGCTAAATTTTAAGCTTAAATGTATACAGTTAACAGTGATGAAGCATGAGAAAATATCTCATAAGCATTTAATTCCCAAAATTACAACTAATCGATATTTTCACCATTTCTGTTATGTGGCTCAACTTCAGCCTAACACAATGAAAGTCAATAGTCTTGGCTTTAAGAAGCCATCAAAACACACCTGAAGGTTTTTATTCTTCTTTTTTAACTTGGAAAACATATTTTTGTCCTTATTTGATTCATTAAAATAGTTAGACACGCATTTAGAGCCCGTTTTAATAATTTAACTACTCAAAGCATGATGCAGCTCAACTGCACGGAAGCTAACGACAAGCCGACAGATTTAACTTTAGCTTAGCTGCGGCTAATGAGCTCTCTATCCAAGTTCCCTATAAGCTAGCAGGTCAGGAGGAGTGTCACCGCATAAACAAACAACGTCCAAGTTTTTCCCCTCAGGGTTTGCTCACCTTTACAGAACTGTCACTCCTCGTTTGTTTCTCTTGGTTCACACGAACACCAAATTTCCCATCTTCTCGCTTGGAGCCATCGTCTTGTTGTCATGACAGTGACGCTCTAAGGAGAAGCTGGCTTAGTGCGCATGACCGGAAACCAGGGTGCTTATGGGAAAGTGAGTTTATTTTGCTGATAGAAAACCCATAAACGTACGGAAGAGGATTAGGGTCACTGAAGAAAACAAACAATAAATTTAACAGATTTTTACATTTTATTTCAGTATAATGAGACAAAAAAGTCAGAATTCTGACTTTAATCTCAGAATTCAGACTTTAATCTCAGAATTCTGGATTAGGATTAAAGTCACAGTTCTGAGATTAAAGTCAGAATTCTAAAATTAAAGACAGAATTCTAAGAAAAATTCGGAATTCTGAGATTAAAGTCAGAATTCTGAAAAAAAAATGAGAATTCTGAGATTAAAGTCAGAATTCGGCGAAAAAATTCAGAATTCTGAGATTAAAGTCAGAATTCTGACTTTTTCCCCCACAATAAACTGAAATAAAATTTAAAAATCAGTCAACTTTTTTTTATTTTCCAGTTACCCTAATCTAATCCTCTTCCATATAAAAGCAGTTTAAAACCAGAGTAAATTCTTCATAATGTGAGATGAAAAAATATTCCATTTGTTCTGCAACTAAAAATGCCTGCATGCATTTTCTTTTATTAATGTAAATTGGGGTTGTTGTTTTGTTTTTGTTTTTTTGTTTTTTAAGGCGTATGCACAAATACAAATGAGATTTTATTAAATTTTTTACTATTTAAAAATTATATATATGGCTTTTCTGTGCTGCAATGTTACATTTTTATTAAAGGAAAAAAAAATCCCTTTGATAATGCGTACCACACTCACAAACATATTTCCCTTACATTTTAAGCCTTATATATATTATATATTCTTTTTAAATATAAAAAGTTTATTGTTTGAATTGCATAGAGATAGCCCTGATTATTATGAAATGGAATTTTTAAAAATAAAAATCCAAATAATAAACTTTATGTATTTAAAAACACTTATTTGTATTAACTCTGCATATGTATACTTTATTTGTACTAAATACATGAATCTGAGGATTATGTAATTCAATTAAATACGCTTTATTATAAAAATAAATATGCATCAGGTAGGGTTTATTTAATAGATTTGTCAAAATTATTTAAAAAAATGGAAATGGAAACTTATTTAAAAAAAGACATAAAATCGTAACCTGTTAGGGTTACTTTTGTAACAGTGTAGAGTATGGATCCTTTTGATAAAAAAACTAAAAATAAATAAACACCAAAATGTTAAGGCTACGTTATTACTTATTTATTGCATTTATTTTTGTTCAGTTTTAAGCTTGGAGCAGAGTCTAAACAGCAAATTATAATAATGTTTCCTTTAATATTTTTTGTAGTAACCATCTAAAACAGTCAAGTAAACTGTTATTTAACAAGTAAAGCCCCAACATTTGCTTTTGTAGCCAGAGCCTTGTTTTTGGTATTTATTTTTCTTTGAAAAAGCCATTATTGATAAGAATTAACTTGATAATATATATTGACATATTGATATATATATATATATATATTTTTTTTTTTTTCCCCAAAGCCTATTTTAAGAAAACATCATAATGAAGAATAGCTCCGGGAGTTACCCAGTCTCTCCAAACTTTTAAAATATTTTGCAGAAGTACCAATAATTGTGAAGAGAAATTAAAAGCCACAAATAAAATAACAATTTCCAGAAAGAAATTGGGCATTTTATTATTATTATTTTTTTTTTACAATATTCTAACTTTAATTAAAAATGTTAACCTTTATTAAAGAAGATAAATGCAGTTTTAAACAAAAAGAAAAAACAGGAATAAGTTGTACATGCCCTAAAAAAGGTCTGTCTTAATTGGAATTCCAGAAAACAAGTATATATTTAATTACTTCTATTTTTATACATGTGTTACCACTGAATTTGAAGCTCTTAAATAAAAGGAATAGACTGCTTTTGTCCCCTGTAGACGGAAAATAATTTGTTTTAAGTTGACGACACATGAAAACAGTTTCTTTGGTCTGTGAACCAGTCATGAAATTTATTGCATGTTTTATTCACAGCATCAAATAAATCCATCAGCTTATAAAAATAAAACATACCAGTCAAAACTCCAGAAAATATCTTCCAAGGAAGTAAAACAATATACATTTCCATATATCTTCCACATATACAGTATCTTCCCCATTTGAATGATAAATATGTTTATAGCTCCCCGTTTCTCACACATAAACACAAGAAAAGGCAGCATGCAGGTGATAGCAGCACATTTAAAACACAAACAAAGTGATGAGAAATAACATGCTGAAACAAACAGAAATCATTTAGCTTCGAAACTCCTGAACAACGTATATTCCAGAGGTAGTGCTCAACTTTAACCACTGATATTTTTTTTTTAAAAAGTGAAAAAAAAAACAACAACAACATTTTAATGGGTCTTATACTTGGTTTTAAAACAAGGAACATTATGTTTCTACCTCAGATGTAATGAATAAAATATTTTTTTTATTTACAAACAAATCTGAAGGCGTCAACCTGTTTCCACTGCTGTAATGTCACATAACAGCCACTAGAGGTCAGCTTTGGGTTGTCTAACCATCTGCACCAGTGTGCAGAATGTCTGGATGAACCACCTTTGTGGAGATGATCAATATTTCATTTGTACAATGAAATACTTTGTTTTCTTCATCCTCTATGGATTGAAATGATATCAAATTAGCAAATAAGAATCAAATAAATATTTAAACATAGCTTTTTTTGTGCAAGAAAAAGTTTCCAACATTGACAAATCAAAGCTATCGCCACATGTGATGTTTTTTTTTCTGGGTAAAGAATTTAAAGTGCATTTCTCTTTTTTTATGTGATCTTATAAATGCCTTTTTTATGACCTAAAATCTTTTTTTCTCTATTAATACTGTTAGCTGTCATTTTGTTGCTGCTGCCATTGAGGAAAACATTCAATTTGCTTTTGAGGAAACAGTTTCCAAGGTCCATTAGATACTTTTCCTATACTTTAGAGTCCCCAAGCTTTGCAGACGTTAGTGGAATCAAACACCTGTAGCTCACTTCAAAACACTCCCCAGATCAATATGCCAAAGCCCACTAACATCATTTCAGCCTGGTTCATCATGTACAAATTATACAATATCAAAAATACTTCCAGAAAATAACTATAATGTGCAAGCCATTAGCATGGAGTGACAGTCTGTGTTTCTCTTTCTAATCAGAAAACTATTGGGGGAGAGAACATGAGAAATTGTTTCTGCTAAACACAATCCAAAGATAATCTGTTCCAGCTAGGAAGATTCGTTCAGGATGTGTAAAACTTCTTGTTGGGCAGAGATTTAGAGCAAATTGATGGTTGGATGTGAAGAAAGTGGAGGAGTTACACAGTGGTCAGGAGTCTGAGTGGCCAGAGGCTGCAGGGAGGAGGAGGAAAACAGAGAAAGGAGCAGGATGGTCTCTGGATGAAGAGGCCAACTGGATAATTATAGAACCTTCTGGAGGATGGCATTGGGAACTTCCAGGGTTTCGTCCTTCACAAGGACGATGTCGTAAGAGTCCATGTATTTGTCAAGGCGCTCTTCCACCTACAGAGGCAGCGAGAGAACTTCAGTAAAAAAAGTGCCGCATTCAACTATGGGTGCATTTCTGGTTAACAGACATTTTAAAGCTTTTCTGACATATGGGCAAACTTAGGTGGGCTACGTTTTAGTTTCTAGTTCTTTCCTTTTTATACTTAAAGGTATAGAGGATGATCTTATATTTCTGGGTGGATCATCTAAATAAGTTGCCCTCCTAATTGTCAATCATACTGGTGATAAGTTTACGTAAAGCTTTCCTACATGCTCGTCCCCAGTTAGCTATCTTTTTCTGTGCATGCGCATCTTTAGGCGTATATCTGTGGTGAGCTACGGTTTAAGACACTCATTGAAGCTCACCTTTCTCCCCACGGTTTTTTGAAAATGGCAGAGGGTCGTAAAAGAAAAAGTGTCTATGAAGTGTATGAGAAGAGGCAGATATATCCCAGAATGCTTTGCAGGGAAAGCTCTCCTTGCAAAGCATTATGGAATTTGCTGTCACAGCGGACTGCTGTCGCCACAGGCTTTTGCTACCCAACAGCGGCGACTGATAAGAGAGATGGTGCAGGCACCGCACGGTGGACTAAAGTAAAAGTGATCATCTGTCTGAACGGTAAGTTGACCGATTTTACTATAAAGTCCACTATATAGTCCCACTCTATATAGTGTTT